CGTCGACGACCCTCAGCCCCGTACACCTGCCCCTCACCGTCCTGGGCTGTGATACACGACCCGTCGACGACCCTCAGCCCCGTACACCTGCCCCTCACCGACCAGGGCTGTGTACACGACCCGTCGACGACCCTCAGCCCCGTACACCTGCCCCTCACCGACCAGGGCTGTGTACACGACCCGTCGACGACCCTCAGCCCCGTACACCTGCCCCTCACCGACCAGGGCTGTGATACACGACCCGTCGACGACCCTCAGCCCCGTACACCTGCCCCTCACCGTCCTGGGCTGTGATACACGACCCGTCGACGACCCTCAGCCCCGTACACCTGCCCCTCACCGACCAGGGCTGTGTACACGACCCGTCGACGACCCTCAGCCCCGTACACCTGCCCCTCACCGACCAGGGCTGTGATACACGTGCACGCGGGGGTGCAGCTGTCAGATGAACGCCGCTGACGTCAACATTGTAACGAGGGAAAACCCCCGGAGGGATGGGAGTGCCAAAGGCTCCGGAGGTAACGCGCGTTATATCAAGCGTGGGCATCAGGACGGAGGTGGGCATCAGGACGGAGGTGGGCATCAGGACGGAGGTGGGCATCAGGACGGAGGTGGGCATCAGGACGGAGGTGGGCATCAGGACGGAGGTGGGCATCAGGACGGAGGTGGGCATCAGGACGGAGGTGGGCATCAGGACGGAGGTGGGTCCCGAGTCTTGAAAAAGGCCCCCCAAAGACCAGTTCGTGGCTTCACCCCACAGTTCCCGGGTCTTCAAGAAAAACTATTTGTTTTGGCTCTCTAAGGTGGCCTGCAGAGCTTTGTATTTATGATTTAAAAATTGATCATACACTTCAGGCGCAGACCCTGCACATAGGGCAGACAATAGCGCACTGAGCATGCGACAACACGCTAGAGGTGGGGAATGGATAGAGGTGGGAATGGATGGGGAATGGATAGATGTTGGAAGAGACCAGGATGCAGCCTGGTACCCCCTTCTATATAAATTTAAATGTCTATTCTGTTCGAGGGGAGATTGGGGATAGGGAAAGGGTGCGAAGAAGGGGAAAAATGGGGGAGATGACAAGGAAGAGGTGAGAGGGGAAAAAGAAGATGGGGTGGAATGGGGTGTCAGGGGAGAGAGAGAGACTGGCCCAAGCACACCTAGTGTACTCACCTAATTGTGCTTGCGGGGGTTGAGCTTTGGCTCTTTGGTCCCGCCTCTCAACTGTCAATCAACTGGTGTGCAGATTCCTGAGCCTACTGGGCTCTATCATATCTACTAGTGTGTGTGTGTGTGTGTGTGTGTGTGTGTGTGTGTGTGTGTGTGTGTGTGTGTGTGAAGAGTCACTAAGCGAGGCCAAGGGAGAGGTCTGCGAGGGCTGCCGATTGAGAGATCACTAACCGAAGATGAAAAAGAATCTTGGAGGGTTATGTGAGGGGGACGAGGCCCCACCACCACCTTGAGACGGCCCTCCGCCCCGCCTCCTCCTCTTCCTCCTTTCCCTGAGCGAAGCTCCCCTCCCAGACACTATAACCTCACAAAGATTCTACCCCCTCCCTTTATTTGGTCATTGCAACTCGGGTGCACTCCATTTCTCTGGGGTGTGGGAGTTTCAAGCTCTACTGGGCAAAAATGAGCCTAAACGAGCACAGTTCTCGCTGTTGGGACTCGTTAAGCCGGGCACACGTGTTAATTACGACCACCCTTAATGAACCGAGTACAATATTTACACCCAAAGTTGACAGCCTCCGTTTGGGGGTCGCGGGCAAAACTGCATGAAATATGACGTAAAGTCACTGCCGAGGTTCCACACTCAAACTACACACACACACAGGCTCCACACTCAAACTACACTGGCGCGCGCGCACACACACACACACACACACACACACACACACACACACACACACACACACACACACACACACACACACCGAGGGGCCTCGTAGCCTGGTGGATAGCGCGCAGGACTCGTAATTCTGTGGCGCGGGTTCGATTCCCGCACGAGGCAGAAACAAATGGGCAAAGTTTCTTTCACCCTAAGTGCCCCTGTTACCTAGCAGTAAATAGGTACCTGGGAGTTAGTCAGCTGTCACGGGCTGCTTCCTGGGGTGTGTGTGTGTGGGTGTGGGGAAAAAAAAAAGTAGTTAGTAAACAGTTGATTAACAGTTGAGAGGCGGGCCGAAAGAGCAAAGCTCAACCCCCGCAAAAACACAACTAGTAAACACAACTAGTAAACACACACACACACACACACACTGATAGAATCTCACCATGGATACTAAAGGAAGGTGCAGAAGCACTAAGTGTGCCACTCTCTATGGTGTATAACAGGTCACTGGAAACAGGAGACTTACCAGAAAGTTGGAAGACAGCTAACGTGGTCCCAATATACAAAAAGGGTGACAGGCAAGAGGCACTGAATTACAGGCCAGTTTCCTTAACTTGTATACCATGCAAGGTGCTAGAGAAGATCGTGAGGAAAAGGCTCGTAGAGCATCTGGAGGGAAATAACTTTGTAACGCACCACCAACATGGGTTCAGAGATGGTAAATCGTGCCTCACAGGGTTAATAGAATTTTATGACCAGGCAACGAAAATTAGGCAGGAAAGAGAAGGGTGGGCCGACTGCATTTTCCTGGATTGCCAAAAAGCCTTCGACACAGTACCCCATAAAAGGCTGTTAAAAAAGTTGGAGCAACAGGCAGGAGTAAAAGGGAAGGTGCTCCAGTGGATAAGGGAGTACTTAAGCAACAGGAAACAGCGAGTAACGTTGAGGGGGAAGACATCAGAGTGGCGAGATGTCACCAGCGGAGTCCCACAGGGCTCAGTACTTGGACCCATCCTGTTTCTAATATATGTGAACGATCTTCCAGAGGGTATAGACTCATTCCTCTCGATGTTTGCTGATGATGCAAAAATTATGAGAAGAATCAAGACGGATGAAGATAGACAGAGACTACAGGATGACCTGGATAAACTGGAGGAATGGTCTAGAAAATGGCTGCTGAAGTTCAACTCTGGAAAGTGTAAGGTGATGAAATTAGGCGAAGGGAGCAGGAGGCTGAACACAAGGTATCATCTGGGAGGGGAAATCCTGCAAGAATCAAATAGAGAGAAGGATCTGGGGGTTGATATCACACCGAACCTGTCCCCAGAGGCCCACATCAAAAGAATATCATCAGCGGCATATGCTAGACTGGCCAACATAAGAACTGCCTTCAGAAACTTGTGTAAGGAATCTTTCAGAACCCTGTATACCACTTATGTAAGACCAATCCTGGAGTATGCAGCTCCAGCCTGGAGTCCATACCTAGTTAAACACAAGACAAAGTTAGAGAAGATTCAGCGGTATGCCACCAGGCTCGTCCCGGAACTGAGAGGATTGAGCTACGAGGAAAGGCTAAAGGAGCTGAACCTCACATCCCTGGAAAACAGAAGAGTAAGGGGAGACATGATAACCACCTACAAAATTCTCAGGGGAATTGACAGGGTGGACAAAGACAAACTCTTCAGCACGGGTGGGACACGAACAAGGGGACACAGGTGGAAACTTAGTACCCAGATGAGCCACAGAGACGTTAGAAAGAATTTTTTCAGTGTCAGAGTAGTTAATAAATGGAATGCACTAGGAAGTGATGTGGTGGAGGCTGACTCCATACACAGTTTCAAATGTAGGTATGATAGAGCCCAGTAGGCTCAGGAATCTGTACACCAGTTGATTGACAGTTGAGAGGCGGGACCAAAGAGCCAAAGCTCAACCCCCGCAAGCACAATTAGGTGAGTACAATTAGGTGAGTACACACACACACACACACACACATACACACTCAAACTGGTACCCCGGCTCCACACTCATATCTATCCTGAAGTTTGCAAGACATAAGGAAACGGAACTATTCAATACACAAGATTTACAAAACAGAAATTACATAATTTTTTCAAATCATATGTTATGCACCGGAAATAGGTACCTACGTTGCGCAAGGGAGTACCTAATAGGTAATATACCTATGCCTAATAATAATATACTAAAATATAATAAACCTAAATAGGTAATATACCTATTTAGAGGTAATAGGTAGTATACAAATAAATAGGTAATATACCTATTTAGAGAGAGAGAGAGAGAGAGAGAGAGAGAGAGAGAGGGAGGGGGGGGGTCCTATTCAATCTAGGCATTATATACATATCTAACATAACCAGTTTTCCATTCTAATGAAAACCTATTGCAATTACAAAAGTTGCTTGTAACATGCTTTTCACTCATAATTTGGGAGTTCAGCGGCTGAATTAACGAGCATTTAGCCAGTGTTGATGAGGACGGGTTTAATGTCTACAGGAATTGTAATTGATGAGGCCTGGTCGACGATCGGGCCGCGGGGTCGCTGAGCCTCAGAATCACCTCAAGGAATAGTGTTATTTTGCCTAAAGCGTTCCGAGGGGTGACTCCTCCGGGGGAGGTCGCCAACACACACCCACACCCACACCCACACACACACACACAGACCAAAGAGCCAAAGCTCAACCCCCGCAAGCACAAATAGGCGAGTACAAATAGGTGAGTACACACACACACACACACACACACACACACACACACACACACACACACACACACACACACACAGTAGTAACCCAATAATATAATAATGCTCCAGAATGACAACAGGTATGCAGTTACCGTAATTCAATACTGCAATGTGCACCTAAGTATGTTACATGGCTAAGACAAAACACACTCCACGTGCATACAAGTGTCTTGGAGTGCGTACAAGTGTCTTGGAGTGCGTACAAGTGTCTTGGAGTGCGTACAAGTGTCTTGGAAAGAATACAAGTGTCTTGGAATGCATACAAGTGTCTTGGAATGCATACAAGTGTCCTGGAGTGCGTACAAGCGTCTTGGAGAGCATACAAGCGTCCTGGAGTGCGACTAAATGTCTTGGAGTGCGTACAAGTGTACATAATCCTGGAAGGTTTCCCACTGCCTTGTACTCACCCATTGTTGTGGAGGTCCGCTGTCTATCTCCGAGCCGTCGAGTCCCTGCAGGTGGGGGGTGAGGGAGAGAAGACAAGAGTCACTCATTACCCTCAACACCTCACAACTCATTACCTAGTTTACCCTCAACACCTCACAACTCATTACCTAGTTTACCCTCAACACCTCACAACTCATTACCTAGTCTCACTCTCTGAATATTAAAAAAAATGAAAACTATTTGCTATTTAAAAATGCTTAAATGAAAAGTAATGGAATAAAAATAAACATAAGAGCATCGAATTCACGAGCCTGTGTTATATATATTGCTCATTTTTTTATATTCGTACTCATTTTTTACATATTTTTTTAGTACTGTACAAAAGCATGCCTTAGTTTCTGAATTATATACTCTCGAATATAAATTATTCAGCATACACATTATATATATATATATATATATATATATATATATATATATATATATATATATATATATATATATAAAGACTGACAAAAAACTAACAAGATGAACAAAAATAATACTCACATCTTTTTTCCTCTTCGTCCCTGAAAAGAAAGCGAAGAATTTTTGAGAATCACAAATAATTTTTTCAGTATAATAACTCGTTTTAGCACGAACAAAAGTAAAAAATAATTCGAGGACACAATAGTAATAACATAATTATTGATAATTTGACTGTAAACCACGTCAACAATCGTCTTGTAGAAATATCAGACAAGAACAGAAGCCTTTTACGTACACAATCGAGTAAAACACACTAATGAAGATTTTGTATTTTAATTTTTTTTTCTGGCGTTCACCTCAACATTAATGTTTTGAAGTAATTGTCAGGTGAAAGCGCTAAGGCTTTAAGACTATAGCATTTGAAAGAGGATGGGGGCATAAGGATTTCGGATAGAACGGAGAAGAATAAGGATGAATAAGGAGAATAAGGATAGAGGATGCTTGGTCGTCTGGCATCCAACGCGAGAAATGCATCCATTAATTCCCTTTTTACCACCACGCTTTCCTTCTCAAGTCCTCTTGCTCAACTGTCCACTTTCTTACAAATATCTTGTGCTTTCAAAGTCACTACTACTACTAGAGACCGCTCTTATGTAGCCTTTCCGAAGGTCAATTATTGTGTAGCACCTCCCGTATTCTTTATTTATCCCCAATGCATCTAATGATTCATTTAATCCCACACGTCTCCCGAAGGCTGGTCTAAATCAGCGTCTCCCCTTAATCGATCATTTGTAAGAACTGAAGATCCATCTTTCTGAGCAATTCTGAAGACCCATTTAAGTAATCTCCTCATCTAAAGACCTATTTGTCATCACTTCACCTGGAGACTCATGGTGCCATCGCCTCACATGAAAGCCCTCATTTATCAAGACGTCTCCCCCAAGGCTCAAATCAACACTTTCTAAAAGTTATCCCTGTCAAACAGCGTCCAGAGTCCAGTTGAATTACTACAGCCTGCCATCTTTTGTATACTCATTTAAATTTAAAATTTTGCCCCGAGGGGCGAGTTTATTGGGCAGCGCCACTCATCTTGTGAGTGGACACACCGCCATAGCAGCATGTACAACACTCCCCAATAGGAAGAAAACCCGCTGGGTTGTTCATCCTCTCATCTTCTTATAAGGCTAACTGGAGATAAGTCATCTTCACTCCCCTAGACCAGCTTTTCCCTAAATCTCTCATTCTGTCATTCGATATAATTCTCTCAAATAGTTTTATGTATGATGCTATGTTGTGCGTTTCAGGGAATATTAGCAGCACTAAGTCCTGAGAATTACACAGATTAGGCAAGTGCATATAATTGTTTAAATAAAGATGAAATAATTACAACTTAAAAAAAAAATCATCTTTAATTCTTTGAATACCTATCTTCCTTACGGTGATCTTCCCCATCCTGTTCTCCCCCACCACCATTCCCGCAATCTTCCCCCTCTCTTCTCCCCCCCCCCCACTCCCCCTCCCCCACACTCGGCGTTATCCAAGACAATTGTCTTACTGGTATCACAGCGATGTTCAGTGAGCAGCAAGAGTCCAGCAAGGCGTGAAGGGCAGCAAGACGCTATTCTCTAACGATGCCACTTGATCCCCTTTAGTGTGTCGGGTTACAGGAGCGCCTCAAGGAGCGCATCAGATGGACTGAGCCCCGCTCTGACCTGTGCCGCTGGTACCACAGACATACAGCCCGCCACAGTTATAAGCTCAAGTTACGGATGTAGTTAGCGTGGAGGGGATAGTTCGTGGCTCAACCGATGCATCACAGGTTGACATGGTTGAATCCGTTCTATATATGAGTACAAATATGATGCAATCCACACACTAGAAAGTGAAGGGACGACGACGTTTCGGTCCGTCCTGGACCATTCTCAAGTGGATTGTCAAGTCACAATTGACTTGAGAATGGTCCAGGACGGACCGAAACGTCGTCGTCCCTTTATTTTCTAGTGTGGATTGGTCAACATACTTCAGCCACGTTATTGTGACTCATCGCCTGCAAATATGATGTAATTATACACAAAGACAATAAAACGACAGACAAAGAAATAGTAAAGAAATAATAGGACGTTATCATTCCTTTAAGGAATGATAACTGGGCGCAGTGATAAGAGCTTTCATAAGAAATCAAATATTGTATAAACAACAAAACATTGATTAGGCTTAGTCAAATACCTATATATTTAAGCCTAGGTTCTTGAGGTTATCTTGAGATGATTTCGGGGCTTAGCGTCCCCGCGGCTCTGTCCTCGACCAGACCTCCTTTTTGTCACCCCCCCCAGGAAGCAGCCCGTAGCAGCTGTCTAACTCCCAGGTACTTATTTACTACTAGGTGACAGGGCCATCAGGGTGAAAAAAAAACACTGCCCATTTGTTTCAGCCTCCGCCGGGGATCGAACCCGGAACCTCAGGACTACGAATCCCGAGCGCTGTCCACTCAGCCGTCCGTACCTAGGTTAGGTAAGCTTGCGTATATTTTATACCGAGCATGAACATCGGACGTATTCTAATAACAAAGTGAACGTTTGTCACACGGGGTTACCCACGCTTCTTCAAATTAGCAAATTATACTTTTATTTAAAATGTTACTGAAGAATAAATCGAAGAAATTATCTTCATACATATTTAAGGAGGCAGTGATGATGTTCTGTAGAACGAACAATAACGAAATGCCGTAATATCATATCACGGATGATATCACGAATTTATTTGAATTTAGTTTCTCTATTTAATACGATAGCAGTAGGAAGCGATAGATAAATCATGTCAGATGCTGTCAACAGAGATCCTTCGGTAAACCAGTAAATCTATTATAGAGTAACTGCCTGCAATAACAGATGTATTAAGCCATATAACAGCTAAATACAACATAAAATATACCGTATATTAACTTGTATAGCAAACGAGCACTACATAAGATGAATATATCAACTTTCACAGCGCCCAGATAATGTAACCGATGTGCATCAATTCATATATAGCAGCCATGTACTATTTAGTTATTAATTTATTCACATACAAGATTCACTGGGTTGTCAAAGGGGTGGGGGGGGGGTTAAACATGATGGGGGGGGGTACCTTGAGGTGCTTCCGGGTCTTAGCGTCCCCGCGGCCCGGTCGTCGACCAGGCCTCCTGGTTGCTGGACTGGTCAACCAGGCTGTTGGACGCGGCTGTTCGCAGCCTGACGTACGAATCACAGCCTGGTTGATCAGGTATCCTTTGAAGGTGTTTATCCAGTTCTCTCTTGAACACTGTGAGGGGTCGGCCAGTTATGCCCCTTATGTGTAGTGGAAGCGTGTTGAACAGTCACTGGCCTCTGATGTTGATAGAGTTCTCTCTCAGAGTACCTGTTGCACCTCTGCTCTTCAATGGGGGGTATTCTGCACATCCTGCCATGCCTCCTGGTCTCATGTGGTGTTATTTCTGTGTGCAGGTTTGGGACCAGCCCCTCTACTATTTTCCACGTGTAAATTATTATGTATCTCTCCCGCCTGCGCTCAAGAGAATACAGATTTAGGCTCTTTACTCGGTCCCATTAGTTTAGATGCTTTACCGAGTGGATTCCAGCAGTAAAGGATCTCTGTACGCTCTCCAGGTCAGCGATTTCTCCAGCTTTGAAAGGGGCTGTCATTGTGCAGCAGTATTCCACTCTAGAGAGCACTCCACTCTAATTTAATGATAGGTACATTGTAATACAGTTTCAAATCGTATGATATCTACATTGCCATGTAGTGGGTGAGTGGGCAGCGCAAGATACTGTGAGAGTTGATACCACAAAGAGAGGATGCTGTCAAGATGAAATTGGCTACTTCACAGTTAGACTTTTGAACAGAGTATAGTTAGATCATTTGTTTTAATTTATTAGCGAGTAAGTTCCATATATTGGGTCCTTTAATTTGCCTGGCATGTTTGCATAGATTTAGTCTAACTCTGGTAATATCAGCGATAATTATTTCTGGTATGATGGTCGTGGGTTCTAGCAAGGAAGAGTTTCAAAACAGAATTAGAATGTAGAAGTACGGTTTATGTAAGTGTATATAGCACTAGAGAATGTGTGGAGCTAATGTTTAGGGATTTAAACATTATGTGTGTTGCCTGAAGTATTTTGAGATACTCAATTGACTATCTCTAGCCATAACGTTGGGGGGGGGGAAGGGGGGGCATAGCTCACGGGAACATCTTAATTTAATTAAGGTGATAAATCTTCAAGTGACGCTGCAACATTCGCTAAATAACTGCAATGTTGCTCCCAGTCACATGTACTATTTTCATATAATGGTCTTAATGGAAATTTTGAGTTTAATTAAATAAAGATGGGTTACAAAAACTAATTTTTTGTACTTTATGTAAAGTCTAGTAGTAAATTCTTCCTAACAACATAGCCAATGAATCACTACTGGGTCTCTCCTCACCGTAACTATACGGACAAATACAAAAATGTAACTCAATTTTGTTTACTGTATATATCAGAACACAAAACATCATAGAGCTGAGAGCACTACCTTCCGGTGCGACTAACCATATATATTTACCCTGTAATAAAACTTTAGTAACTCTTTTTTGTCTGATTTTCAGGCATGAATATACATACCCTAGCCTTTGTCAGTAGCCCCTTTCACTTGAACAAATGATGAATACTGAATGATGAATACTTTAAGAGCGAGAAGCTGCCTCGTATACGCCAATAGGCCTTCTACTATTTCCTTATTCTTACGTTCTGTTTACTTTTAAATTGCCTAACTTATCTTCCAACCTATTCATTAAAATATGATGTAAAAAGAGTAGGAACTCACCCCCTGTGGATTAAGGCATTACCCGGGTAATAAAGAGAAAAAGGTCAAAGGACAGTTCCCCTGGAGAGAGCCACCACTGGGTTATTAAAGAGGGTGGGAGGAGGCTCAAAGGATCCCTACCTGTGGAATGAGCTACCACCGGGACACTAAAGAGGACTGGAGGGAGGTCACAGGACTCGTGCCCCCTTGCACCGAATTGCCACTGTACCCTAGGACCCGACTCCAGGTGCTGGGGTATGGCGCCTCGCCTCCCATG